CCCGATGCGGGGCTCGATCCCAGGACCCTGGGATCATGACCTGAGCCGAAGGCAGACGCTTAACCGACTGAGCCACCCAGGCACCCCGCTCCCTCAGGTTTTCTCCTACATGTCCTTCACCCCCAATTTACCTTTTTCTGTAATTCATCATTGGTTGTTTCTAATTCCTTTCGAAGGCTGGAGAGTTCAGTTTCCCTCTCTGAAAGATTCACTCTCAGCTTATCAATAGTTTCCTCCTGTTCTTTCAGGTGACAACGAGCAACTTTCAGTTCCTCTTCGGTTTCCAGGTGCTTTAATTATTAGAGGAAATTGTTGAGAAATTTATAGAAACATTATAACCATTATACTCTAACTCCTTTTCCCGAAGATTTAATTTTTACAAAAATACCTGCTTATAAAATAATAATAAAAAAAGCACACGGGGCAAGGATGAAACCTACCCTAGCTGTCATTTCTCTCAAGCTCTCTTTGAGTTGGTGAGTTTCAGACTGAGGAACTTCTCGCAGCCTCTCAGCCACCTTGAGCCTTTCCATGCCCACTCGTGGCAGTGCTGCCTCTCCGGCTTCGAGCGGCTCCTGCAGTTGCTCCAGCTTGCTCAGGATTTCCTCAGCCTCATCGTCCTTTTCTTTCACATTGAGGGTCTGATCTTGTTGATCTTGAGGCTCCTGGATCTTAAGAGAATCCTAAAACAATAGAGTTGACAGCCAAAGATCCTTTATATTATTCTAGGGGAAAAGAAATCAGGACATTTTCTAAAACGATTAAGTCAGGATTCAGTGGCTCATTACAGAGCACTCTTTCCAATCTCCCACTCGTCATTACTCAGGTATTGAACATTTATTTCCTGAGGGTTCATTGTGTTGTTACTGTCCTATTAGAGGCTGGAGATACAATAGTAAATGAGACTTACATGATCTTTGCCCTCCTGAGACTTGCACTTTAGAGGGAAAGATAGACATTATGCCAAATCTTACCAAACAGAGGTTCTGGGTTCCTGCAGGGTATGTGGCAAACCTAACTTACCCTGAGTGGTTAGGAAGGGCTTCCTGGGGGATGGAAAGCTTCAGTTGAGAACTGAAGGATGAGAGCACTAGTTAGGCAAGGGCATATGGAAATGATGCAGGCAGGGAGACCAGAACATCTGAAAGCCATGAGATGAAGCACAATGCTGGAGCATCATGAGCAGGGCTAAGAGTGAGCAGAAATAAGGCTGGAGACCAGCAAGGAATGGGACGCAGGGCCTCAGAGGCCCTGTGAGGGATTCCAGTCTTTAGTTCAAGAGTAGCAATAAACTATTAAAGGGTTTTAAGAAGAAAAGATTACTTGGGTTCAGAATGGGGAATGAATTACAGAAGTAGAGGAATGAATATGGGGAGACCAATAAGGAGGCTACCACAGAAAGCCAGGAACAGAAATAACGGTGGCTTGGATTAAGGTGTTGGCAATGTGGGGAGAAAAGATGGAAGATTTCACACACACATACGTGTGCGTGCACGCACACACACACACCCCTCTTAAAATCAACAAGGTTTGGTGCTTGGATTATAGAGTGAGTGGGAGGAAAGGATACTGGGGAAAGGTGATTCTCAGATTTCAGTCTCAGGTACTGAGGAAGTGCCTTATGAGATGCTATAGGAATAGATTTAAAGAAGGAAAGAAAATGGTTTTTCTGGCTTTATCCCTTCCTGTACTTTAGCATTGCTTTTTCTAAATCATTTTTAAATATTTAAGAAGACCACTGTCTTCTCTGAAGCATTTCTCTCAATTTCAACAGTTTTTAGTATTTATATTTTTAGTTCTGTTTCCAATCACTTCATAATTAAGAGACATTTAAAGAAAACATGATAGTAACATTATAACTACAACACAAGTGCTTCCTTTTCCAAAGACTTCTTATAAAACACTTATTAAATGGAAGGAAAGGATGAAACTTACTTCAGCCGACGTTTCTCTAATGTCTTCTTGCAGCTGGTCTTGTCCAACCCGAACTGCTTCTTGTATTGTCTGAAGCTTGTCTCTTTCCTCAGTTAGAGATTTTGTTTCTTTATGACTTTCTGGAAGTTTTTCAGTCAACTCGAGCCTTTCTATTTCTATGCGTGCCAGTGTCACTGAATCCTTGGTTTTGGATTGCTTTTCCAATAGCTCCACTTCATCCATTGTTCCCTGAGTATCACTGACTTCTTTCACATTAGGCACTAGCTCCTGTTCCTCATGAAGCACTGGGATCTTGTGATATGCATAAAATACCAAGGTTACTATCTGGAGATTATTACCATAAATTTTTTTTGTGTGCCAAAAGGTGATTTTATTAAAGCATGGGGACAGGACCCATGGGCAGAAAGAGTTGCTGCTGTATTATCATAACTTTTTAAAGGGAAAAGATGAGGATATTATCCACAGAAATAAAAGTGATCCTGAACCCACAGCCTACTGTGGATCATGAACTCCAATTTATTCATTTTCTCTTGATTCCTACCAAAGCTGTTCATGACTTTTCTGCTGGTCATATTCTGCCGGTCATATTCTGCCATAATTGTCTTTTGCTCCAGCTTACATCCAAAGTGAATCAATTCTTATACTTGACTAACACACTGTTAATTTAGTCAGTTGCACACTTCTTCATTTCTATACTAGTTCCCAAATGCCAAGGAGAAAAATCATCATTGAGCAGATTATATCTCAATAAACGAATGGTCCCTAATTCTCAGATGAGCGCCAATGCTACGTCTCAATTTTTTTATGTTTACAGATTGATTCCCCTTTCCTATGGTCATTAGTGGTTCCATGTAACTCTGCATATCATATTTCTGCATTTTTCCTACTGGAATTGAGGGATTATTTTATATGCCCATACTCGGGGGGAGAGAACAATGTCTTAATCATATCTAGTTTCAATGGCTTGCACAGTGGCCTTTAACACAGGTTGGTTCAGTTATCCCAATGTTTCATTTTCTCTATAGCACTTGCCATTATCTCAAATTATCTTATTCATTTGTTTGCTTATTTACCAGTTACCTCTTTCCACTAGAGTAAGCTCTATGATCATGTAAATTTTGTTCACCTTGTTCCCATTTTATTTCTATAACCCAGGACTCTGCCTGCCACATTACAGACTCAACAAATAGTATCCAATAAATGAATGAACTATTAACACAGTGACTACTTATTACTCATCCTTCTTTGAAATAAAAAAGAAAAGAAGAAGGGACAAAGGAGAGAAGAGACAAACCTTTTCTTGTAATTCAATATTGGATTTTTCTAAGTCCTTCTGAATATTTATTATTTGAGCTGTCTTCTCAGAAATGTTTTTTCTTAGTTCATCAATAGTTTCTTCTTGTTCTTTAAGATGAACGCGAGTAATTTTTAGTTCTTCTTTTGTTTCTAGACCCTTTATTAGCAAGTGGAATTTAAAGAATATTATAACCACATCATCCTAACATTACCTCCCCCTTTTCCAATTGGCTCTGTTTTAAAGAAACATTTAATAGATGAAAGAAAAGGGTAATAACTTACTCTAACTTCGATTTCTTTTATGTATCCTTTAAGCTTCTCTCTCTCTATTTCAAATGATTCCTGTAATTCCTTTAGATCATTTCTTTCTTTGGTTATGGATTTCATTTCCTCATAATTTTCATGGAGCTTCTGAGCCAACTCTAGCCTCTCCATTTCTATACGTTCTAATGTTAATTCTTGGTTCCTTAATTCATTCTTCAAATTCTCTATTTCATTCATCTTTCCCTGCATCTCATTCATTTCTTCTTGTACACTAAGAAGTTGTAGCTGTTTTTCCTGTAGTTGTTGGTTCTTAAGAAATAAAATTTTTAATTACCATTTTGCCTATATACTCTTAAAATCTCATGTAAAATGTACTTTGCTGAACGGAAATAATCATTATCACAGCCCTGCCTACACTCCCAATGTAAACAGACAAGAGCTTTAAAAGTAAAGTATCCTTCTAAGCATAGTGACTGTAGTAGGTTGAATAGTGTCCTACCCCAAATTCAAGTCGATTCAGAACTTCAGAATATGACCTTACTTGGAAGTATGGTTTTTGCACATGTAATTAATTAAGGATTGAGAAGAAATCCTATTGGATTAGGGTGGGCCCTAAATGCAATGAGAGTGTCCTTATAAGAGGCAAGAAAGGACACACAGCGACACAGAGAAAGTCCTGTGAAGACGGAGGCAGAGATAAGAGTGATAGAGCTATAAGCCCAGGACACCAAGCAGAGCTGGGAGCCAAGGATAGTTATTAGACACAAGATTCTTCCCTAGAGCCTTCAGAGGAGTATGGTATTGCCAGCAACTTGATTTTGACCTCTACAATCCAGAAATCTGACAATAAATTTCTGTTGTTCTTTAGCCACCAAGTTTATGGTAATTTGATACAGAGGGTCTAGGAAACTAATACAGTGTCAGTAGGTTAATCAAGGAGGAAAAGTGAAAATGAGAAAAACTTGAAAAGAGACTAATTAAATTTAAAGGTATAGTTGCCAAATAACTATAATTCCTCATCTCTTAAAAACTTTTGGATACTCTATGTTTACTTCTAATAAGGTCCTTATGGGGTGGCCCCAAAAACACTGAGGCATTAACTTTTTTTTAAATTAAACTTATTTAAATTCAATTTAATTAACATATACTGTATTATTAGTTTCAGGGGTAGAATTTAGTGATTTATCCGTTGCATATAACACCCAGGGCTCATTACTTCAAGTGCCCTCCCCAATGCCCATCACCCAGTTACCCCATCCCTCTACCCACCTCCCCTCCAGCAACCTCAGTTTGTTTCCTATAGTTAAGAATTTCTTATGTTTTGCCTCCCTCCCTGTTTTCGTCTTATTTTTCCTTTCCTTCCCTTATGTTCATCTGTTTTGTTTCTTAAATTCCACCTGTGAGTGCAATCATATGGTATTTGTCTTTCTCTGACTTGTTTCGCTTAGCATAATAACTTCTAGCTCCATCCACATCATTGCAAATGGTAAGATTTCATTTTTTTTGATGGCCGAGTCATATTTCATTGTAAATATATATATACCACATCTTCTCTATCCATTCATCTGTCGGTAGACATCTGGGCTCTTCCCATATTGTGGCTATTGTGCACATTGCTGCTATACACACTGGAGTGAATGTGCCCCTTCGAATCACTGTTGGTATCCTTTGGATAAATACCCAGTAGTTTTATTGCCAGGTTGTAGGGTAGCTCTATTTTTAACTTTTTCAGGAACCTCCATACTGTTTTCCAGAGTGGCTGCACCAATTTGCATTTCCACCAACAGTGTAAGAGGGCTCCCCTTTCTCTGCATCCTTGCCAACATGTGTTGTTTCCTGAGTTGTTATTTTTAGTGAGATATTAACTTTTTTTAAAGTTAATAAATATGTATAAGTCTATCTCTTTATTTTTTTCACTTCAGTTTATTAACAAATAATGTATTATTAGTTTCAGAAGTAGAGGTCAGTGATTCATCAATCTTATATAATACCCAGTGCTCAATACTAAGGCGTTAACTTTTACATAAGCCTATTAATTTCACTTCTTTGGGATGAGTATGAAACAGACATCAGGTTTTAGTAAATTTAATTAGGTTATAGTGAAAGGGAGGAGAATTAAGAGAATATATATTAAGAGAAAAACATTTCACAGAAGCGCAATGGAAATCACAATATATTATTTATAATGCATGTGGCACTGTCCTTAGAGTAAATAGAAAGACCTCAGTGGGTACATTTTAGAATTACTTGGGTAATACAATTATTACAAGAATCTTGGCTCTTATACAAATATTACAACACCACCTTACTTCCATAAAAGAAATGAGTCAGGAAACTGTAAATGTCTAAGAGATGGTAACAGTCATAAACCTTACATTTTAAAGAATCACTACTATATCTTTATAAAGGCAGGATCTTTGTGTTATTGACTAATGGATCTCAAGACCCAGAAGAGCATCTGGGCTATGGGGAGTTCCCAATAAGTATCTGATGAATGAATATATTACATGATAATTTAGATGAATCAAAGCCTTCTCTGTCATCTAAAGATTAGGGTAATATAATCCTCACAAAGAGTGTTGGTTAAGATATAGGTATGAGTTGAAACTGTCCACATAAATAATTAGCATTAAAATGTGTTCATTTGGGAGATACATGCTATTTCTAGAACTTAGCTCTACAGCAATCAAAATGTATTAAAAAAAAAAGTTTAGTCAGGAAATATAACATGGCTAGGAAGGTAACTTTAAAAATTCACCTTTTCCTTTAGCTTTTCTTCAACTTCTGCTAATTTCTCATAGGTCCTAGAAAGCTCTTCCTCTTTCTTTATGGTGTGGTTCTTTTCTTGTACAATGATCTCTTGTTGCTTTTTGAGTTCATCTCCAAGAATTCTTAATTCTTCTTGGTTTTCAATAGTCTAGAATTAAAAAAAAGTTGAGATTAAAATCAGTATTACCTTACATTTATAAAATCAGGTAAAAATCAGCATTTACTTCAGCCTAAAAATGAAGAAATCATGGCAAATTCTATTGGAAAAGACTACCTTAAAAAAAAAAAGTCTTTAATTTAATCATATAGATGCCAAGCATCTGCTTTTTATGCTGTTTTTTTATTGCTCCACTTATATTCCTATCATGAAAATTAGAACTGGATTTGGTATTCTGTCTTGAGAGGTTTGCCCATTTTCTACCCTTAAGCCAAAGGAGACTGTTTCTAAGCTTTCATGGACTGATGACAAGACTATAGTTATGGGCTTTTCATATGCTAGAATGGTTATGATTTAGGGCACCAGTTAACAGCAAGCTCAAAATGGCAGCCATCCTTTGCTAGCATGACTCGGGCTAACCCTAGTTATAAGCTTAAACAGTGACATTCTCAAGTATCATGACCATAAAAACATTGCAAATATGAGACCAAGAACAGACTATGACTTTTATCTGTATTCTTATTTAAACTTAGCTCTTTTGACTAAACAGACAATCCCAAGAAATATGGAAAATTACACAAAAGGTCAGGTTCTCCTGAAATCCACAGCAAACTTCTAAAAATGTGAATTTCAATCTATACATATTATATTGTTCCAAATACAGTAACAAAGACTAAAGTAGATTTGACAATATGGCAAACATTAACAACAAATAATTAAAAATGAAGTTTAAAAATTATAACAGAATAAATAAAAGAGAAACATTTAGGAACAAATTTAACAAAATATGGACAAAACCTGTACACTAAAATCTGCAACACATCACTGAGAGAACAGATGATTTATAGAAAGATATGCAATGGCCAATAAGCATATGAAAAGATGATCAATATCCTTAATCATTAAGGAAAGGCAAATGAAAACAATGAGGTACATACCCAATAGGATGGCTAAAATTGAAAACACCAATAATAGGAAGCATTGGTGAGGATGTGGAGCCATCAGAATTCTCTTAATTTGCTTATGGGAATGTAAAATGGTACAACTACTTTGGAAATCAGTCTAGTAATTTGCTATGACCCTGCTATTCCATTTAGATACCCCAGAGAAATTAAAAAAAAAAAAATGTTCATAAAAAGTTTTGTGTAAGAATGTTTACAGCAGCTTCACTCAAAATCGCCAAACACTGGAGAGAACTCAAGTTTCCATCAACAGGAGAAAGGCAAAACAACTTGTGGCCTATTCATACATGGAACACTACCCAGCAATAAAGAGGAATGTAAAAAAGTAAGGTACAAAAAAGTACATGCTGTATGATTCTATTTGTATGGAGTTCTAGAAGAGACAAAGTGACCTATGCTTAAAAACCATTAGGACAGTGATTATATGGAGTAGAGAGTGAGATTAGAACTGACTGGGTCAAGGCACAAGAGAACTCTGTAGGGTGAGGCAAATGTTCTATATCTTGACTGGGGTGGAGGGTATACAAGTAGAGATGTTTGTCAAAAGTCATCAGACTATACACTTGCAACAGATACATTTCTCACATGTAAATTATGCCTCAGTATAGTTGTAAAAATCCAGAACATAGAAGACAAAAACATCCTGCTAAGTATACAGTGCTAAATCCTACCATTTCAATATTTTCCCTTAGGTCAGTCTGTAATTGTTCCTTTTCTGCTGTAATACTCTCTAACATTTGTTGCAGTTCATTTTTCTCCTGTATTAAAGAAAATATCTTTCTCTGTTGCTCAGTTAGCTCATTATCTTCAACATTCGCAATCAGTGTTTGAGTATTTTTGGCTTTCAAATTCTGTTTTTTATCTGTGTCAACCATCTAAAATATAAACAGATTAAAGAAGAATTTCTCAGTTAATAACAATTTTAATAATAATAAAAATTGCCAAAACTTACATTACTTATTATTTACCAGGCACTATTTTCATATATTGACACATTTAATCTTCACTCTAACCTTATGAGATAGGTACTAGTATTATTTCCATTTGACAGATGAGGAAATTGTATCCGAGAGAGGATGATAGGTCACTTGCCCAAGGTCACTCAGGTTTTGAAGCCAAGAGGTCTGGCTCCAGAGTTTGTGCCCTTCAGCATACTCTTGTTCATGGATAAGAACTACCTGGACAGCTGTAGCTAATTAACAATTATCTTCATGTATGATGATGGGTCAACCTAATTTTATGAAAGAATAAGCCACCTTGAACTCCATCACTTCCTTTCCATCAAAAGCTGGAAATGATTCTCTATCCCCCACTCCCAACAAATCATTACTTTCAGAAGCAGTCATATTCACAAAAGGTTGGAGTTTTATCATACGAGAGGGCAAAATAACTTTGATAAAAATAGATTTCATATTAGAGTAGTATAATCCACCTTTTAAAAATACATACTTTTTATACACTGCTTAAGAAAAGCATGTTATATAAATTCATTTATCCATAAACAAGTCTTAAGCAAAGGTACCCTAACATGTGTACTCCTTAAGAAAGTGAGACAAAGACTAACATTACAATCATTGGTATGAAATTAGGGTATCACTCACTATGTGACCATACACATCCAGGAAATACAGCTCCATAACGGCTATATATGTTTTAAAAAGTTTTAATAATAGGGATAATAATAGTCAGTTAAGCATCTGACTCTTGATTTTGGCTTGGGTTATGATCTCAGGGTTGTGAGATCTAGCTCTGTGTCAGGCACTGTGTTCAGTGGGGAGTCAGCTTGAGATTCTCTTTTCCTCTCCCTCTGCCCCTCCCCCTGCTCTCTCTCTCAAATAAATAAAGCTTTAAAAAAAGTTTTAATAATAATCTACAATTACATTAGAAAAAAATTGAAAAATAGAGAAAAAAAAACCATCCAATGTCACCAGCTTCACACAACCCACTACTAGAATTCTAGACTATTTCCTTTCAGAGTCTGTTCTTGAAAAAATTTTTCTTGAACACAGTAATTAAGATTAATATATACAGAATTCAGTTTTGCTCTTTTCCATTTGGATCACATGCATTTTCCCATGCTGTTACATAATCTTCAACTTATAATTTTTAGTAGTTGCTCAATTCTCTAGAGTGGGTTTGGACAAACCATACTTTAACTATTCTCTTACTGTTGGCAGTATGCATGAGTTTCTGACAATGGCAAACACACAGCTAACTACATGAGAACTTAAGGTAAGGAACAGATAGTCATTGGGACTAGTTTGTCAGATACTATAGTTCAGAATCTCGTATCTGTGCTCCTAAACATAGGAATGTACACAAAGACAAAGCAGGCTGAGACAAGGTATGTGAGAATACCCAAGGGACATTTCAGAAATGAACCCAGCCTAGAAAGCATTTCAGCTACCATGAACAATATCTAACATATCTTATTATTAAATAAAGAAAAAGAATTGTGTCCTTTATATGAGATAGGTTTACTAATCATTGTTTAAAATTTGTGTTGAGACACACTAGAGAAACTGCATTTCTAGAGAGAGAAATATCAAGCAGGATTTAAAGTGGGCACTCTGAGGGGGAGGAGCAAGATGGCGGAGGAGTAGGAGACCTGGATTTCGTCTGGTCGCAGGAATTCAGCTGGATAGGGATCAAACCATTCTGAACACCTACGAACTCAACAGGAGATC